CGCTGTATTGTAGTGCATTTACAGTTTTAAATCTTGTACTACTCATAGAATATGCGAGTACAAAATTGAAAACACATTAGGAATGTTGAAAGAAAACCACGAAGTAAAAAAACTAAAATAACTCTACAAGATTTACAAAATGATGATGTAATTATCAATCGTATTTCACACTTTCTTTGGAAATATGTGACAAATCCTATTTACAGGCCAGTTAGTTCTTGAAAATGTAAATCTTTGACGAATCATATCACTTTAATAGCATTGTTTAATGTTGATCTTTTACTACTTATTGTGTTGTTTCGGAATTTATCCTCTTAATGAGCTTCAAAATCCGATAAATACAACTGATACATGAAGTTTGGTCGTTGATTTTGTGATGTGAATCTTAATTAGAAAACCGATCATGAACAAAATCAAAAGATGATATATTTCTGCGAAAGGAAACATTTTATTTCAAAGCTAGAGCATTATATTTTATATGAAATAAGGTACACTTAAATAATTTCCTAACCACTGACTTTTCTTGTATGATATCATGATTTCACATAAAAAACATCATAGAGTTTGACACAAACATGCAATAATATGCGTCAATACACTTAATACTAGCACATCTAGAGCACACTAACAAGTTCAAAAGAGTCAAAATGATCACAACATTAAATAGCTAAAGAATTAAAGAAAAAAGAGTGAAATCTGATATGAAAGGCCTGAAACAGTACAATGAATACAATCAAGAAGTAAAACGTATTCATTGGAGTAGCGACTTACACTGAGTCATGAAATGAAATGCAAATAAACGTTGGCTTGTTTAACACTTTTACGACCAATCTTATTTAACAAAAATTCACTAAACAACTAATCTCGTCCAACATAAGCTTAATCTCCCTAGCCAACTCAGACCGTTAATTATTGGTTTCACATACAAACATCGTGTCTTTAATCCATCATTTCGCTCCTCCCTACCTTCACGTATACTAGCCTCATTTGTTTTGGTTAGTAATGAGTGACACATTCTAATCACCTGAGTTGATCAAGTTTCACAGACTTGTTAACAGTTATAGTACCCTTATGTAGCATTCTATGGTCGACCAACAACCTAACAGCTTGTGCGAAAAGTTGTAAAGGTTCAAATCTTTCAAGTAATGTATAATAATTTTATCGCAGGCGAGCACTTTTAGTGAAGTTAAGTCCTCTAAGCTGGATCATTCATTTATTCCGGTTTCATCATCGCTCTGGACACCATTGCCAACCCCCAGCTTAACTGGACCATTTCTTGTTCATTTTTGATATTTAGGACTGAGTTTATTGTAATCTCTGCAGGAATCACTAGTACTAGGTTCTAAGTACATTTGGATGGAGTTTAAAAAAAGGAACACACTCCTCGGATTCTGTTAAACAACTTAATATCCAATGCTATAATAAGGATCACATGAAAGTTTATTCTTTAACTATAACATACAGCATCGAAGTATTAGACTTACTAAACCAACAGGAGACAAATAATCACGCATTCCATCGATTGATAATATACCTGCTACAACTAAGTCAGCTCTGGAATAGGCAAAAGATGGCATCACTAATCCCGGACAATCACAAAGTATCAAATCCGATCGAACATAAATAGTCTAAAAACCAAAAACATCAAACAATTCATTGATAATATGGTGAAAAACAAAGAGGTGAGATCAAACGGAACAAGCGGTTTGTTTAAAGACAGTTTACTAGCCAAGATGTGTAAACCTTATCTTCAAACATCCATTTACAGCACGTGTATTCTGAGATGTCTTCTCCCACATGCCTTCTAGTTTTCGAAATACTCTAGTCGCGCCATACATCCAGATCCGATACTCTTCGCTTCGGCAGTAACTTCAGAACGACACTTCGCCGCATACTACTTATAAGCTCCACTGTGAGTAACACGCCACAAAATTTTAAAAAATTTCAGCCACCACGGATAAAAATAAGCCCAAAACATCTACCTGGAAATGTTTGGTTTTCCCAGGTGTAACTGATACTGGCACCTTCTTATGACCTAGTATCGCGTTAAGCGTACTAGATTTCCCAACGTTTGGGTAGCCGATGAAACCGATTGTCAAAGGATTCTTTGTATCACGACTGGAGGGACCGAATTTTTCAGTTAGTAGACTGATTAGCTTTTCAACTCCAACGAGCTCAGTATCCGCCTCACCATTTTGTGTGCTTAGTAGAAAAAATAAAGGTAAAATTAAAAACAGAACAGGTTGTTAACTAGGTAGTCTCAGGTGTACACTGTTAACTGGACTCTCTAGATAAAACTCTAAACAGGTTTACAAAAGAACATATTAAACTCTAATTTTAGTACAAACAAGCATACGAAAACACATTTAGATAACTAGTGATAGTAAGGAGCAAAGTCTGAAGAAACCTGAGTCGAAGGGAGACTTGTGAATTATAGGTTTATATAAGGTAAACTACTTGATACTGTACCAAATTATTGTTTGAGTAACAATAAGCACCATGAGAGCTCCCAAAATACACCTAAATATCTATCTGGTACAACAATGAAACAAGAGTTTTGTGGCAGATAGTTATCGTCTACTTGTACCTATAGTCTTTCAAATAAGGTCACGGAGCACAATATAACTTGATATAAATCTAAAACTGTTACCCATAGGTTATATAAAGAAGGAGAGATATGAACATGTTATGTTCACAGATTATTTTGTCTAAAAGATATGCTTGATACGACAATACGACGAAATATATCTAGAATAAAGTAGATCAACAATATTATGATAACATAAAAGAAAGAGAAGACAACAATATAAATGACAGGTAACATGAAGTTATAAATACTATCGACCATGATTTGTGTACAACGATATGCTAAAGCATTGAATAGCACCCCAACTCTCCTAACTAAACAGAATCTAAAATAAATGAATATATCCTAACTCATAGTACCGCTTAATAAAACTGACAGCCTCGTTTCTTTACATCAATCAGCACCGGAGACAAGGAATTGTCCAGCATGAATCTAATTCATAGGTTTGATTCAGTAGGAGAAGAGTGACAAAGTGAAAGTAAAATATGCTGACCAGTGGAGATAACTGTCACAGGAATAAAGTGAACCACTTGAGGAGAAATTTGGCTTCAGTGACAATGACCGACAAACTAATATATATATGCATACATATAGCATACAGCTTGTACTTTGAAATATTGAATGTTCAATGAAACTGAGCTTATAAACGTTTCAAACTTCGTACAACGTTCGTTTCTGAAACTTTCGGGTAACTTTCTGGAAACAACCAAATCTTGGCCAAATTAATTTTCCGAATCCCCAACTACTCAACAGGGAAAGTACGGGTGGCAGATGAAAAGAACAACAATGAAACGGATAGAATATAACATGAGACAACCACGAAAATACGATTCATAAACAGATATTTCTATGTCGCAGTGAATAACTTACTTATATTGAACAGCCGTTTCAGAATCAATCACATTAAGTTTCACAGAATTTGAAGCGACTGATGAAATCGGTACAATGACTTCGTTTGCATCCATTAAACTATCACAGGAATTTATTTTACAATCCACTTCATTAGGTAGGTGTGTTGAGCGTTCGATAACCTCAGGAGCTTTTTCGTTAAATTCCTCACAAATAGTTCCTTCACTAGCATCACTATTGGCATCTGATTCCGTCTCAGTTTCCTCGAAATCACTATCAGATTCCGAACTGATTTCATCAATTGTTTCAGTTAGAATATCACAACGTTCGGTTATATTAGTAGAATTTCTTCCTAGCATTTGTTCACTGGCTAGAACAGCTGACCAAAATATGGCGTTTATACCAATAGTTCTGAAATACTCCGCCCACACAGCTCTGTAACAAAATTATTAATACAAAAGCATAGGAAGTTCAAAATACAAATTTAGAGCAGGACTCATTTATTTACTAAGGCAAAAAGGTACACAAAAATACATAAGCATTAACTAACAATTGTATGTTGTCTATTGTTGTAAGTCAAAGCAGTGCTTACGTTGTTGTTAGTAATGACACATTCGTAATATATGTATCGTGGCATTTTGTCGGTCTAGCTCCCTTAAACTTAATGGTGCGTTTATCAATGGTATCTACGTACTTCAGGAAAGAGTTGAAAACCAACCGCAAAAGCGTAGTAACCTCTGCTGTTTCACAAATTTGTGTTGCTTTTGGTAAAGTCCACTCAATTAGTCAGTGGCTGGAGCAGTCAAATTCGAATCATTGGGTTTTGTGTTTGAAACCTGTTCGACCTACTTGATCTAGGCTAACGAGTAATATCGCTAGTCCTCAGAAAGAATCTATACTTCACGGTCGGATATTAATTACACTAACTGAACTTGCAGTGATACCTAAATTAGGTCACTCACAGTGCTGCTTATTATTTTAATAAATCAATACGATAACGAAAGAAACTATAACAAGTCATCTGACTTATATTATTAACACTTGTTTGGTTCTAATGCGGATTGCAGATTCGGATGAGAGAACACTAAATGAATGATTACAGTGGAAAAGTGTAGGATGGTAAATACTGAAGACAAGCCATCCTTCAGATTGCTACGGAATAAAATTTGAAAGGGTAATGAACTAGGTAAGTTTTCTTGCATTGAAAGTGGATATCTTTAAAGAGACTGAATGTAACACAGGCTGTCGTGAGTAATTTGCAAAACTTAGTCTTATTATTTGGCATTTATAATAACTAATTCTAAACTCACGCAGTTGTTTGTTTGAAAAACATCACTGTTTAACGATAGGGAAAATTAGACATCATGTGTTTGCAAAGCAAATGAATATTTTGTTCTAAATAATATTTTGCTTGAAATTTATCTCATTATCTTGCATTCGTCCTTCGAATACTCAATACATAAAACATCATCCACTAATGACGTTGACTCGAAATTTATTAATAACTGAACTAAATTGCACACAACGTTTCAAAGATCTAAATATGCAGATGAACTACATAAATCCTAAAAATCTTGATTACTGCTAAATTTTAGTATATACAAGCCAGGAAAACACAAACGATAAGCTCACCTTTGTTGATTTGTGAGGAAGTCAGACTTGTTAACAAGAACCACAGATGTTTTTTTCGGATCAACTTCGTGAATGTAGGTTTCTAAATCTCTAGAATAATATAAGAGAGGCTGACGAGCGTCGACCACCTGAACAACAACATCGCTACGTTCCACTACACGCCACAGCTGACGCCAGAACTCCAAATTTCGCTCAAAAGGAGTAAGAACGATACCGTCTTTTTCTTCCAATCTATAATATTAGGAGTAATTCAAAAACTTTTATAATATAAGCATCAAAATCATCTCATACATCATATCCAAAAACAGGTTGTTGTGTTAGTATGAACACCAATTATAAACTAGCTTAACTTTGTCACCAAGAGACTTATCTTAAGATAAACAGTTTTCCACTACTTAACAAAGATTAATTCGTGAGAGTGTTTTATTCTGATTTTAATAGAGAATTGGGTAACTTTTATCAAACAAAGAAACAAACCCACAGAGCCAATGATCGTCTCCATTTCAAGAATTCTTCTTTTTCCAGACTATCTAATGTATCAGCTGACATTTCTGGACTCCACTTAGGTCTATAAGAAACCAAATATAATCAAATAGTAAAACCATATAATTTAGGAAAAAACCCCATACAAAGCAGCAAATATCAATATACTTTTAAACGAATGAAGACTTAATTTAGCAGACGACCAGGAAACTAGCAGATGTCAAGTAATCGGAGCTTATTCACCGTTCTATTCAGTAATTCTACAACATCCATGTAATATGCAAGACTTAATGAAATGACTGCAGATATGAAAATATTACTGAGCATCTAAAAAATCGTAAGTGGATCTCACTTTGATATATCCTAACATATAACAACAGAAGTTAAACTCCTAAAAGACCACAGAAATGTTTACAAGGTGACGACTCGTTTATACTGTTCCTTTAAAGAAATTGGAACTGTTTTGGTAGAGTGCTAAGAGGGTTAGAATTATTGGAACTTGTAACTAGTATTAAAAATACTAGCAATCAATCAAATTGATTTCAACAATGGATCCGAAAACTATAGCTTCTGCAATCTCGATGTCGAAGAAAATGCTCACTGTTGGTTCTATGATAGCTTTTAGGTTTTAATAACATCATAGCTCAGATCTACACCTGTCTAAACATGCGCCAACAGACATTAACTATAGTGGACCACAATTCAAGGGGATTCTCTGAATGTGTCACTGGCGACAATACCTTGTGGATAACAGGTTTAGTGGTACCTTCGAGCGAACATCTCAGTAGCCAACAACTTATTTTAGAGTAAACAACTTCATTTTTTTCAAATGAAATATTGTCCATGAGCATTAAGACTCTCTAATGATAAAATGTTATGAACAAAGATTTGTTTCACTGAAACCAAGATGAAGAGGAGACTAACATTACATCACACAAAACCGATTTTATATTTCCCGACAATCTCGTTAAAAATTATGGAATCCTGTTGAGCTTACTACAAACGAACAGCCAGTGAATTATTACATGTGTACTCAGATGAATGTACACCTTAAAAGTAATTGAATGTACTTATTTGGCCAGAAAGAAACAACTTAGCTGCGTTGTTTAAAGGGCTATCGTGAAGCCAGTTTCTTTAATACGGTGTCGGAGAAACTATCAAGCTGACTGAAGAATAAATAAACACCATGATAGGGACAAGACATGAATGCTAGCTATTATTTCTAAGTCGATCTTCATTCAGTTCGTAGATCTTAAAACATGTCATACGTATTAAAGAGGCATATTGACATATAAAACTGTGCCATATACACTGAAATGAGTTTGTACTTAACTTCTTGGTATTTTAAGCAAGTTTCTATACATGTCCTGAACTTCCAAAACTTTTGAGCGTTCGGAAGCAGATTGGAGACCGATAATTTCGGATGGGGTGAGAAGCCTGATATTCTTTTTCTCTAAAAACGACATGTGAGAGGTCAAAAGTCTTACGGGCTTTGAATTCATGATTTGCGAGGTTGGCAATACTAAAGAATTCATCCAAACCTGTTTGTTCTGTAACTGAATGAACAGGTAAACGAGACCAGTCTCCAGCATTGTTTGTCCCAACTACGTGACGCCCCTTTTATATAAATTGAATCAATATTAAGACTAACTGATCTCTCAGAGGGCCCTGATACCATGTTTTTAACAAGAGAACGTCCAAGATCATGCTTTCTGCCCATGTAGCACAGTAATCTGAAACGACAACTGTACGAAGGACGAATATTAAATGTTCCTTTGTTTAGTGCTTTCCAGTAGAGACCTGGGTACGTGAAAATGCAAGCAGATACAAAAAATAGATAAGTAAACGGAAAGACTTTATGCATTAAATCACTAAGAATGTATCAAGTTTCCATTCAAGACACCTCCATTACAACATCTTTTTCACGAGCTAGTATAAACCAGTTGATTTCTTTGTGATCGATTCTTGTTCTTTCTGTACGGTTTCAGGTATCTGCTAATCGACTACACTAATGATAGTCGTTTGGTATTTGTTTGTGAGTTTTCATTTCACATGATTTGAATACGTTGTTTCAGGAAAGTAGTGTTTATGAAACAGTCAGCTCTCACGTTACCAGGTCGGAGACCAGTTAGCTTCAGTGTGAAAAATAATAAGGAGAAAAGTCTAATGCTAATGAGATTTCAGAACTGATAAAACTAAGGGATAATTTGGTTCACTACATCATTGTGAAGATTGCGCAAATGGACCTAAGTGTAAGCGAGGGTAGGGAAACTAAGATAGTAAGCAAGATTGATTAAGTGAATGATCTGAGGAGACGACATTAGTAAAAACATTCCTTGAGTGCGAAAATATTACCTTTTCACCTAAGTTTGTAGGTGTTTAATTTAAAGTTGCCCTGTTTCGAAAAATTCTGTAGAAGACTATTATAAGATCCTTCTATTCTTCAAGTCATCTCAAGGCTACCTACTGGTTTTCTACATTCCAATAGAGTTTAGTCTACAGGTATACTGAGTTTGGAGATATCATGGTAATTCATGGCTTGGCAAATGAAAAAAATGACCCGAAGGGACAGGTTTTTTTGTTTCCGAGATTGAAAAGTGGAGAGGAGGCCAAACATCTGCATAAAACAAAAGGGGATAAAAATAGAGGAATTTCCAACAAGCAGTCATTACCGGAGTATTGTGGAAGCTCGTTCTTCGAAGCTGATAGTATCTTTGATTTCATTCATTGAAAGATATTATGTATCTGTGAGTTCACCTGGGAGTCGAAGTGTCTTGCAGAAGACGAGTTCGTCATCCAACGTCTACTTTCACTGGATTGCGAATGAATGTCCAAAAGTATTTGAATGATCTTGCTAGTCTGACAACAGCGTTTCTGATTACGTTTAGATTTATTATCCCACATTTAATGTGTAGTGGTATACTTTTACGAAGATAACACAATTGCTGAAATGGAAACATTTATCACTGTTCTTAATTCTAACAGTAATTGTTCTATTGTACTCCCTTTGTTCGATTGTACTAAAGACTACCTCTCGCGCGCCAAGCGTGTCGTTCCCGTTCCGCTTTTATCCTCAGTGGTTGTTAGCCGTTTTTCTATTCCGGTCTTGATATTGTATCGATATCACGAGGCCACGGACAAATATACTCCTTATTCCAGAAATTATTTGCATTCTGATTTCCGGATCTATCGGGATAAACTTGATAATCTTGCAAAGAAGGGTAAATAGCATCTCACTGTAATTGGTGAGCGACAACAACGAACACGCATCAAATACGGAGAGTCTGTCATTTTTAACTGTCGTATAATATATTTCGATATTTTCTTAAATACGTATTAAAACTACAACAGCGTTTGAAAATTGTGGATAGACCCAAAAATGACGATAGCATAAAAGACTCCAAGATACAGGTCCTTACTTTCCGAACTGTCGCTTTTATTCACCGAGACCAGGAGGTCCGGTGTGCGGCACTGAAATCTCAGTTTGGGAACCCCGGCCTCACGAACCAGCGGTAAATATTCGCCCTGGATCTCTCTCTGGGGATCACATAGCGTCTGCACGCGAGGTGGTTCTCAATCCTACTGTGCCTGATATCTACGAGCGTCATAAACAGGCGATCGCCAGACATTTCCTACCATCGAGTGGGGAACGCTAGAGAACACCGTTAGCACTTCACCCCTTTAGTGACGCTAAACCTAGCCACCGCCTCACGCGCCTTCAATCCTTGGCATGAGCCACGACAGCCGACTCTAACATAGTCATAGAACTGTAGCTCGAAGCACTACCGACACGGGTGCAGCCTACGATCACGGCCCTGCTCGAGGACACGCCCCTTAACCAGGCTGCCCTCATAGCAGACAACATAGTAGCGCGGATCAGCCCGTGAGACAACTACATAGTTGCCTCCACGTCAAACAAAAATGTTGATCTTGATGCTAATCACCTTCAGGCTCAACGAGGCCGGAGCTGCTGTGTCTACAGCTGTCTTGAACTTCGAGGTTGTTCTTTCATTCCAGAATCCCACACCCCTCAATCCCGATCATGATCAAGGAAGTCTGTAAGTACTCGCCTTTAGCGGGCATCTTCCAAGTCACGTCAGAAGGCAGCTTCGGAAGCGAGTACAGGTTGGAGGTGGTTCCAGAATTTTAGGTCTGGCCCACGTCATTGTCGAGCCTCATGCTCATACAAGGCGGGAAACTCCAGAGCCGGCAAGTGAATGAGGCCGTAATCGTCGTCCCCTCACCCCAGGTTGGTAGCCTATTCTACGTACACGATATCCGCACTACCGCTATTTACCTCGGTGAAACAGGCGCGCAGGTTTCTGTCGTAATGTTTGGTAGCAGCAAGTCTCAACCTATGATGCTTCAACCAAGTGCTGCCAGTGGCCTGAGTAATTCCTACCTACCGTACACGACTGCTAACTATCAACTTGAGTAATCGACGACAGTATCTATGGGCGTTCATCCCTGCTGATATTTCCATAGCCGTACTCGGTATGGATTCCTTATAGCACTATGAATCGCTATTCGATTCACGTAGGCTTCGTTAATCGATACTTCGTCGAATGTCAAACCCATGGTTTTTAACGCGCAAACAGATATGTACCGAATCACCAATATATATTTTTTGCATTACTATTTATTTCATGTTATACTTGATAAATTCCCCTGTAGAATCCTTTTTGAATGTTTTGTGTTTTGGAAAATCCCTCCATGTTTACATATTTTTGCTATGACATGATGGACTTTTTCTCTTGACATTTTTGGTATTTTATTTGATTCCAATTTGAGATTTTATCATTTTATATTGTTGTTCTTTCTATATTTGTACTTATATTGAAGTTTTTGTGTTTGCTTCTGAACTGTACATATATTGTTTAAATTTGATATAATATGGCTACCGCCACATTT